GTTTGGAATTGCATCTTTTTCAGCTTGGTTGGTGGAAGAGTTCAATAGTATCGAACCTTCGCAACCCTGCAGGAAAAACCAGTGATTTATATCAGTTGGATGAAAAGAAATATAGATAACATCCTTTCTTTGGTTATATATACTTACCCTAACAAAACAATCATGAAAATGCATTCTCAACAAAGGAGCAGCAAGTGAAGGTGTAGTTGATATGGTTTGGAAGATGACTTTCTTCACAATGTCCTCAGCTTCGGGGCATGACTTTGCATAAAATCCGACTTTGAGCCCTCCCTGCGCATTTGCAAGGTTAAGGACAAAAAGTAAAAAGGTCAACTGGAGAAAGAGAGATGACAAAAGCTTTGAAGTAGCCATGTCAAGCTCAAGGGTTTGTGATTATTTCTTGTGCTGAAACACAGACACCAACTTATACATATATATATATATATAAGCTTTGACGTCCTAACGTACGCGCTAATCATGTCATATTACTTGGCACACTTTTGACTTTTGATTGTTTAATTTCACTGATTTATAATATGGTGCCTCACATGTCTGCCGGTTCGGCCTCACATCACATATAAATTATAATTAGCAATAGGTTATTTGTTAATATTTCAAGATTATAAGTTGTTAAACCCCTATTGGTTCACCTCCATTGTCATTGAATAAAAGCATCAAGCTGTATGATGGATAAGTCCTTCCTTCCTCGGGAGCTCGAAGAAACAGTTGACCCCTAACATAATACAAAGCATGTGATGTTGCTAAACAAAGTCCATCTCTTTGTTTAATTAGTAAGTAAGTAGTGCTGCTGCCGAGGCAAATTTATTATCCTGCTCTAGTTAAGTCCTGAAAGATAATATATATTAGAGAATTGCTTAAATTATCTATATGCGACGTGTACAGGTTGTGTGATAATTAAGTTTATGAACACATAAGAGTGCTTGGATTACGCCTTAATGTTAGTTAAACACATACTACTAATAACCTATGATATACGACCAGTAGCACATCACATGGTTTGTATGTTAGAATGTCGTTAAGTATTATCAGTTTGAATGTGTCCATCAATATTTAAATTTTGCATTTCTTGTCACGCTAGCTGGTATTAAGTATTAACCATGCTGGATTGAGATTGAGTTTCAAAACCCAATCATGGTAAGACAGATCATGAGCCTCTATATTTAAATATTGTGCAATTATCCACATTTCGCGAGATCTAAACCATTCTAATAATCTAACGATCCAAGATACGACACTTCCATTTTTACACCTATCCATTTAATCAACTATAATTTAACATTATTGTCGCAAAATGCGGATAAATGCATGATGTCTAAATGCAGAGGCTCGAGATCCATGGTTTAATGTTAATGTTGTTCGTCTTATAAAACTGGGATTAATTATTATGGAACTTGGCCATCTTCTTTCTCTTCTCCATTATTATTGATGCTTGTAATCATCGAGTTCGACAAGTTCCTACGAATAATAATGCTATGTGTACAAAGGCTCGAGATCCATGGTTTAATGTTAATATTGTTCGTCTTATAAAACTGGGATTGGATAGGCTTGGTTTGATTGTCGATGGACTGAAAAATGTGACCACTTCCATCAGCCCGTTGAAGTTTTAGCCCAACAAAGTTCAGGCAGGACCTACTATTGAGCAAGTAGCTTGGTTCACACTTTAGCCCAACAAAGTTCAGCCAATACCATATTCTTTTCATAATCTTCAATTCTCATCTTGAATCAGTTACCGAACTGAAAGAAATAAAGTTCAGTACGTACTTGACTTAACTACAGAGATATTGGCTAAGATCACCAAGCAATAGACAGGTGGTGGGATTTCCACCACCAACCATTGAGGATAACATATAATTAAATAGTTGGCCTGGATATATATGTCTGCATAAACAATATTTGGACTCTGGTACATTATGATTCAGAACCAAATTAATTAGGAAGATAAATCCAGAGAGAACAATTCTGGACTTCAAAATATTCATTTGACAACACTTCTGATCCTATGAATGAAGGCATACATGATTAAACATCGAATGGAAGGCATGATTGAATTTTAATTTTTTTTCTTTCTTTCTTTGTTAATAATACTGTAGATTTCAGTTCAGTGCTGGTTTTCACATTCTGCAAAATGGACCATTTGTTGAGAAATAACAACTCCCACAGATTTAAATTGATGGGGACCTGATTGCTAGCCAATATTTGTCCTAATTTGGCCAATATTTGTCCTTCTCATTCTCTTAATTTGGGTATTGAGTAATGACAAGCAACTTTATACCTTAATTCAATACAGTGTAGATTTTTTATTTTTTGTGTGCATCATTGTAGATAAGGATAGCATGCCTAAGGCTAAACCTTGATTCTGCACTTCTGGCTATAAAAGTTTGAGAGCCTCATCCTTTTTCGGTCTCTGCTTGGTGTTGCTTCGATTCTTCTAACGAGTCGGAGTGAATCAAAACCAGAATGTTCTGGTGCAAATCACAGCCGTCAATGACAGTTGCTATTGCTAGCTAGGGAGATATAGGGACCAAACTAAAGAATAAATAAAGGAGAGTGAATGAATAATATCAAGAAGTGGTTTTCCTCTCATGGTCACGTTTCTATATTTAGATAGTGACCACCATATCGTCTTTTTTCCAAGGGATCAAGTTCAGCTGCCCAAAATGTCAAAATAGAAAAAGGGGATTTTATCCTGCGTTTGTTTTATCTGACATTGCCTGCAGTTTGTGGAACTGAAAAACACAAAGGTCGTCCTTCTCAAGTGTTACAAGTTGTCAAAAAAGAATCAAAGTGAATTTAATATCAAGGACAAAATGTGAAAGCTGCACGAGGATGCATACAGCTGGTTTATTTCAGCCTCAGTGGTAGCTTTATAGGCACCACAGATATTTGCTTCAAATTTGCAGAGCTCTGCATGTCAAATTTTGATACATAATTTTTTGTTTTATCTGAGGCTGCCAGCATCACAAAAAACTGGAATCTTACGTTGTCATCTCAACTGCTACGAGTTGGTATACAAAAACTGAAAGCAATGGGAACATATGGGGTCAAATTTTGCTGAGAATTCATCTAAGATCACATAGAATAAAATAGAATGTATGTTGTGATCATTACTGGTTTTGCAAAAACAAAATTCAAATCGGTGATGATTTCCTTTTCTACTCATAATAACTGAAAAGAAAAGAAAGCAGAAGCCAAAGAACATAAAAGAAACAAGACAACAATTTGGGGCTCACACATATGTGTCTTTTTGACTTTTTTCTGACCATAAAAATAAAAAGGGTAACAAGCATTTTTCTCAATTTTAAAATAACATAATTAAGTTGTTAAAAACTGTTTTGCTTTATACTTCTATTAAAGAAATAGATAATGACAAAGATGGGCACGAAGAAGAAGAACCAAGGCATACTGCTGCTTTAACCATGCTTGCCTCATCATATGCACTTTCATGTTTAATTAGCATTTGTTAATTAAGGAAGGTTGCCTGCATGTCGATCCTCATGTGCTCTTTAACTAACCAAAACAAAAAGCATGAGGCTTTTGTGTATTACATTTACATTTACTTAGGGGGTTGGTCTTGGCCGCTTGTGCCGCCTCACGCAAAATTAGAGGGAAGACGTGTACAAGTGATTAACAGCAGTTATTCTTATCCTAAAGTTTAATATTTGAATTTACTTCCTTAATATCAATAGTATAAATAAAAAAAATTAAACAAGAAAGAAAATAATAAAAACAAAAACTATAGAGCCATCGTTTTGTTTTCTTCCCTTTGATGTGGTGCCAAAAAAACGTCTCCTTCATGTCGTCATATGTAAATTGACAACTTTTTCCTTTCCTTTTTTCTTCTTCTTCTTTTTCTTTTTGTGTCGATTTGGAAAGAAGAATGATGATCTTATCAACACTCTTTATATACACAAGCACGTTACAAATTGTTACGCAACGATTTTTATTCTATAAATAAATAAATGATAATTATATGTGTTGAATTGTCATATGCTAATCAACTTATAGCTCGGGAAGACAATTAAAAACTGTCCACATATTGAATTATCAAGAATTATTAATTTCCTCGCCTCCTAGTAAGTTTCAAAATTCAAATTGTAGATTTTACTATATATTTTCCTCCTTTTGCGGTTTTTTAAAAGCAATGTTTTAACCATGCTACACTTGTTGCATCACCGAGATCCAATTTTTTGTTCAATTATATTATGACAATAATATTTCATTGAAATATTCGTTCTCAGATAAAAAATTAAAAATTAAACAAGAATTATTAATTTCCTCGCCTCCTAGTAAGTTTCAAAATTCAAATTGTAGATTTTACTATATATTTTCCTCCTTTTGCGGTTTTTTAAAAGCAATGTTTTAACCATGCTACACTTGTTGCATCACCGAGATCCAATTTTTTGTTCAATTATATTATGACAATAATATTTCAATGAAATGTTCGTTCTCAGATAAATAAAAATAAAAATAAATAAATAAATCCCCACGAGGTAGTTTAGGAATGTCGACTCTTTGAAAAACATTGGCTAGACCTCCACCTGTGTTATAATAATGAAAGTCACTCATGATTATATTTTTAGTTATTGGCTTTTAGAATTTTCCAAAGTTGAGATTTTAATGTGGGATAATCCATGTGACCTTTACTATACGGATCATCAAATCTTGTCGTGTATAACTGATTGAGCTGAGAGAGACAAATGAGATTGACACAATTTTAGCAAATATGCATCGAAATTCGAAATCAAAGATGGATAGCTTCACAAGGGACTAGAAATTAAAATCATTTTGTCCAGTTTAATTAATGATTAAGCAATCCGCACAACCAGAATTAGCGGAAGATGACAGGATGTTTGTTCTATTCATTCGGGGGGTGTAGGGGATTTACCATGGACTGGCCCCCTTGTGATCTCCCCCACCACCCTGTAAACTGTAAATCCAAATTGGTCAAGAAAATGAAATTTTATTTTGCATACTCAAAACGTATCCTCCACCTACAATTATAATTTATAATCAAACACCAACTCAGGCTGATGATCGTATAAAATAAGAGAAGCACCAGCCACTTTCTTAAGAACACTCCCACATGATCACATTCCCACTCCCTCTCACCCAAAATTCTTCTGTCTCTTCCGCTTTTAGCAACAGAATTGTATTATTGTAAAGCACCAGCCATTTTCTTCAGGCCTCCTCCTCATCAAGGTTTTGTTCGTTGAAGAAAGAAGAAAAGACTGTCATTTTCTCTCTTCTGGGTGTTTACGTCGTCTGCTCTGGGCTGAGATATTATTTTCTTTGGACCAATTGGGTGGGGCAGCTGGAGGAAGAAAACCCAATAAACAAAAGTCAGTCTTTATGTACCAAGTTAGTTTCTTTCTTGCAATTCACGGGCTTTGTTTCATACGGTATTTCTTTATTGGTGTTGAATCTTCCAGTTTTGACTTATTTAGGTGTTTCTTTGTTGTTTTTTCATTTTCTTATATGACAATCAGGTGGTTGCTGGTGATTGTCCCATTCGGTACGCAATTTTATAACGCTGTGGATACGACCTTTTCTTCTCTCTATTTCTCTGTTGCGTTTCTTCTTTCTCATTGGGGCTGCTTTCTTCTCCTATAAAAGTGACAGAAAATGGCGGAAAATCCAAAGTTGGTAAGCACTGGCTTTCTGGGCTTTCTTTATTTTTCATTTCCGTTTCTTTCTTGTAAATTGCTCCATTCAATTCTTGTAACTGTTCCATTGGGCTCTCTGAGTCCTTCGTAACTGTTCGGATTATGTTTTTAAATTTCCAGAACAATTTTGCATTACAGAGCCTCTGTTTCTGTATTGGGTTCTTGATTTTGTTCAGGATTCGGCTGCTACTGAAGAGGTTTATGGATTAGAAGAAAAAATGGGTACCCAGAAAATCTCAGTTTCCGATCATATAAACGGCTTTCATTACACAGCAGATAAATCTGACAGCTTTGTCATTGATATGGAAAGCTTCTCCCATGGCACCGATAAAGATATTACTCCAAATTCTAGAGTCTCGGTACGTTCTTCCTCATTTACTTAATGGGATTCTTTTAATTTCTTTATTTTCATAAGAGTTAGCTCCTTCTGCATTTCTTTTATTTCTTTTTTATTTCCTACATTACATTAACATCATAAAAGTGACAATTTTTAATGGCTAATCTCTCAGTTAATCATGGTTTTCTTGAAATGGAAAACCAATATGTCTGAGATAACACGTAATAATACCTCCTCCATTAAACTTTGCGGCCATTGTAATCGAACGCTTTCTCAAGCAAGCATCATCATTGCAAGTTGGTCTCTTTTAAATTTTCATTGCAACTCTGCTTTTACACTTCTTTGTATTTATCTTTTTAAAGCCCCCCAAAAAGAAAAAGGTCAATGGAAAATGATGGTGGTGAGTGATTGTTGACAATTTCTTTATGATGATGATAAAGATGCAGAGAAATCTTTCTCGGAAATGGTCTCAGCGTGATGGGGAGAAGAAGATAAATTACAACGCCATTTCAACTGATAGAGATATTTTGGCTGGAGGAGCATCTTCACCCTTAGGTAATAATAGTTTAATTTCCTTCACCTATAACCATGAATTGTTTAAAAGATTGATAATTTTTGTGTGTGAGAGTGATTGCTCAATTGCCCTTCTGGGCTTGATGGTCCTGCAATCTATGAGACCTCTGGAAACAAAACGCGAGACACTTGTAAAACCAATAAGAACAAAATAGAAATTTTGACCATACCTTAGTGTGTGCCACATTTGTGGTAATATATAATTGTTATCACCAACCTGTACCAGCCTCACATTGAGGTGGGTGACTCCCATACACTTGGCCTGCCTTATCATTCAAATATTCTTATTTATTTATATTAATAATATCTTTACTATTATTTTTATTATTCAGTGCAGACTCTTAGGTGGTTTCAGTCTGTATCTGATGTGCTGATGTATGTGAGTGCCTTTGAGCATCTTCTTAAAGGGTGGTTAAGTTTTCTGACTGATTTGCTTTAAAAATTCAAACTTGTTAGTTGGAAATTAGTTGGGATAAACATGAACCCACAGCCATAATTCAAAGTAGAACCCACTCTTATCACAAATTGCAGTTATGACAGTGAAATACAACCAGTGCTGGGTCAACTAGATGGTGCAGTTTGATTAGTTTTATAAAAGTACAGATTACTGTATATCTTTTCCCTTTTGTTTTAATTCCTTGTTTGGGGGGCCATAGGCAGTTATGAACCAGCATTATGGAAAATTTGGTGGTGAAAGTCTAGTTAGCTAACATATTATGTGTGCACAATTTGGTATGGAATTATTGAGTTGCAGCTGCTCTTGTAGGATCTAGCACGCCTAAGTCCCCACTGGCTATGGGGACCATAGATCATTCAAGCAACCCGCAGGTCCATCATCAAATCACCGTCACAGCAGCCAACATCGGCACCACCACCGATGGCAGATGTGTTGTTCGGAGAAATAGTTTCCGGCGCTCTTCATCTTGGGCCATCGACCCCAAGAGGGTTCTTTTCTTCTTTGCCACCATGTAAGTTTTCTAATATCTCTCTAAATAGTCTATAGTTACAACTTACAACGGAAGCTTCCCCTCTTCGGCTCAATGACGCAAGTATGTTTTTGTGGTGACAGGTCAAGCATTGGAACAATCTTGTTGATATACTTCACCCTTTCAATTGCCAAGTACAATGCAGATGAAAACAGTCTAGATTGGCAGCAGTGACATAACGTGTGCACTTTGTAGTAGAATTTAAGATGGAAGACATGGGAAAGTAGCTACTCGAAAAAGCGGCTTCTTTCTAATGAGAGATTTGGGACAAGATTACACAACAGAAAGATGATGATTTAGTTCCAAGGATGGAAAAAGCTAACAACCTCCCACCACTCTTGTCTTCATACAGAAACCAAACTTGTTTTTGCAGAATTTTAGAAGTGATGACAACGTCGTACTGCATTGTGACAAGGAGAAGGAATCTTCCTTTTTATTTTTAATTTTAATGTAGATGGGTGAGATCAAAACACATGATGTGTTCTTTTGTAAAATATTGTTTCTCTACACAGCTTTAGTGGATGATAAGAAAGTCACTTTTTTGCCCTCCTCCTCATCCTTTTCCGTTCATTCCCCTTTGCCCTTTATTTTGCTTGCTCTTTTGGCAATCCAACTTCAACCGGCCCTTTTTGTTTGTTGTACGTGGCTTCCATGTGAGTGAGATTGCAAGCAATAGTAATAATAATAATAATAATAATAATATAGTGGTTCACGCATGCGCACTCGAAGCTTTTTCTTTAAGTAGTGTTTTGCAGTCCAGGGGTGCTTTGGGTTGTTGTGGAAGGCTCTTTCCCAGACATTGACATGAAAACTACATAAATAAGCCAAAGACAAGTCATGTCATGAGAATAACGGGAAGAGTCATCCATCCCAAAATCCACAAAATCAAGCATTGGGTTTGGTAAGTTGGCAATAAGTCTTCTTTCCACAAGCACCCTTTGAAGTTGGCAATACGTCTTTTATTCTAGTTGTTGATTTGTTGATCTGCCCTCCCCCCACCCCCCCGCCCGAAAGTCTATTTCTTTACCCGCCCTCATCTACCCCTAGGTAACAGGTAATAGGTAATTTCCCATCCTCCCATCCTCCTCTTTAAAGAGTTTGGTTTTTTTAGGGCATCTAGGAATGGTAGCAGTTACAGCTTTTATTGCTCCCTCCCTCCCTCATTCCAGTAAGTCAAGGATATATTAAACTACAAAATTATTTGTCATAGAAATGACATATTTAGAGGTTAATCTAGAATTTTAAGATGAATCAAATATAATAACAAAACAAACCAACCCACCAAGGCATTCCATTGAAAAGGACATACTAATAAAACAATGTCACATTGGAAATCCAGTGGGTTTGCTAAGAGATCTAACGTTAGAAATTGGATGCTCAAGCCCACAAATAAAAAACATTACATTCTTATGTACTCAATCAAGGCTGTCCAAACATCCAGCCCAAATACAAAACAAAACACAGTCTTCCTCAGATATTACATTCCATGTAGATGTAATCATGGTTGTCCCAAAACCCAACCCCCCCAAAAGAATAAACAAATAGAGTAGCATCTGGCTCTAAGCTCCAAAGGTGATGAAAGCCACAATGGGAAATATTTATTTATTTACTGCAAATTCATCAGGATACAATGCAAACGGTGACAAACAAACATGTACACTTTGAAACGACTTGTAGCATTTGCTTCAGACGCATATGTGCATGCTTGATTCAAACAAAAGAAAGCACTTCCTTGGTTTAATATGAGATAGCTCTCTCTACCATTTTAACATCAACTCTCCTCTATCATTAATAACGTTTTGATATTCTTGGCATTGAGCACTTGTGCTTCCGATCATGATAAAGCCTCAGTACAACAGCAGCAGTTTCTTCAATTGCTTTGCCTGTTACCTCTGCAATCAACCAAATATGAGCAGGATGATTAACTCAACCAAATTGAAGCTTAAAAGAAACAGGCCAACAAGATCATACTAAAACCAAACTGATATGAGCACAGATGTGAAAGGTGCAATATTCTCACCAATTACTGGCCAGACAGGATTCTGTGCAAGAATCCTTCGAGCAAATTCCAGCTCCTGTCTCACATAATCCATCTCGGAATAGTTACTCCTCATTCCTTCACCAAATCCCAGAGTCTTAGCTCTTGCCCTTCTAATTGTTTGCAACACTAGAGGATTGATAGTGAGACCAAAAACCTTTTCTGGGTCAACCTCAAAAAGGGTCTTTGGCAATGGAACCCCCATCACAATAGGCACATTAGCCACTTTGTAACCTTTCTGCGCCAGATAAATCGACAGCGGGGTCTTCCCAGTACGAGAGACCCCAGCAAGTATAATGTCAGCCTTGTGCAAGTTCTGGGGCAATGCCCCATCATCTTGCTTGATAGTGAATTCAATGGCTTCAATCCTACGAAAGTAGTCATCTGTAAGAGGAAAGCTCCTGCCAGGAGCCCCACGAGGAAGGCCAGAGGGTGACACGCCTAGATGGGTTGCTATGGCCTCTGTAATTGGACCCAACATATCTGTGGTTGGTATGCCCCAATGCTTACAGGCATGCCTAGCAGACTCAGCCATTGATGGGTCAGCTAATGTGTACACAAGCATGGCACCTTCTTTGGCTGCTTGCTTTACAATCTCCATTAACCGCTCTACATCATCAATCTGACCAATTTCACATGACAATTTTGCATCAGATTCAGTACAAGGCAATAGCAAACATTAAAAACCAAATAGCATTGAACTTTACCCCAGAAAACAAATGGGTATTGACAGCGCAGCCCCGATCGACCAAGCAATGCTCGAACTGGCCCAACGCCGCGTTCACGGAGTGCTCCACCGTCCATCCAGTTCCGTCAGAAACCATGTATATCGACTTCCCCGCCGTCATCTCCACGTCATCCCCGCCGTCGCTTCCCGTTGAAGTATCATCCTTGACGTCTAGCGAGACGCGTTCTCTCGGCTGGGCCGGAGAATTCGGTTCCATCAACTGGGTCCGCTGGCCCGCGCGGTCCAATTTCCGACCCGAGCGTATGGCCCGCGCCCTGGACCATCGAGTCAGTTGAGAGCTACCTTTGGGTTTTCGAGCCTGCGGCTCGGAGGAGGAAGCGGAGGCGTTTGGAGTTTTGAGTATTGGTTGGTGATTTGCATAACTGGTTCTGGGTGCGAGAACGAGGTTCGGGACGCTCAAGGTGGAAGAAGCAATCATTATTTTATTTTTATTTTATTATTTAATTCGCTCCCCATTTTGGATTTTTATTTTTGTTTGGGTGTGCGGGCCGTTGGGCCGACTGTGGGTATAGTGAGCAGCTACTATGCTGCTGCTGACGTGGTGGCGTGAGGCCCGGTATCCTCAATGGACTATAAAATAAAGAATTATGTGGTGATTGGGTCTCATTCAGCAGTCAGCTACTTTGGTTAACATGGATTTTTTTAATCTTTTCACAATCCGATATTCTAACCTATTTTCATGTTTGAGGGAGTGGATCCAACTCAAATGAATAGGTCGGACATATTACCTTGACTAATTGGCTTAACCCACATATCTCATACGATATACCTATTTTTTTTATTATTAAAGTTGATGATTTTATAATTGGAAAGCTGTAATAGTAGTGAGTTGTGTTGATGCCCAAAAATTGATAACCATTATTGGACCCAACTTAGAAGTGTGATGCCTTCGGTCCCATGGCCCTTCGGCAGATGTAGGATAATCTGCAAGAGAAAGAGTAATGGTAAGACCTCGGGTATCGGTCGAAAACTCTTTGATGCTTAAATTAACTTAAGAATAAAACGAGTAATGAATTAGACAAAGTAAATGCACAGCAGCCAAAATCGTTGCTACATTGTTTCTTGAGACTTGAGCCCTGTTTATAGAGGACCAAAGTGTTGGATCTTGAGTTATTATTTTGATGTGAGATTGCGGGCAGGCATCATCTGGAGGCTACCACTTGTCTTTACTCAATTGGTGCGGCAAGTGTCTTCTTAAGTCGGATTGGCAAGTTAGGTTATCAAAGGTTAACTTAGTATTGATGGTTGTTTTATGGGCGGGCCTCAGTGTTTGAATTGAGTTTCGTGGGACTCCTTTGTGAGTCTCATGTGTCCACGTGTTATGAAACTAGTGGTATAAACAAGTTGATAGATATTGGATTGGATTGGATGTAAAGTTTTGAAGTCCAGGAGCTGATGCGCCTCTTATCTTTCATTGATTGGGTAATAAAAAGGAGAGGTTGTATTTCCACAAACAAATAATCATTAATATGTCTGTCCCAATTCCAATGATAAGCCAAGGGTCACTTAGAAAGAGAGAGTGCAGAGGAAATTTGATGAGGAGCAGTGAAGAAGCTGCAACACGCAGAAGGAGGTAGGAAGAGTCCAATAATGCAGCAGGGCGAGCAATGGCAAACCAACATGACATTATTATAATAATTGGGGGGGTGAGGATGGGTCCCTGTCTCTCTATACACATGATGATGCCACGTGGTAGAAAGTCAACATCACATATCAAAATCTGAGACCCTAGGGTTGGGCGTGCCTAAAAAAGTCGTAATGATTGAAAGAAATGAAGCGAATCTTAGATAGTAAAATGCCTCCAACAACGACATGACGTTTGATCCCCCCATCCCACCTCTCGCTCACTCACTTTGATGTTGATCCCACTGTCTAGTGCAGCATCATCCACCGTCCCTGCACTGTTGGATCAGTTGGAGGAGCCGAAAGGGCATTTCTTTTTGGTTTTTTGGGAAATTCGTATGTATTTATTGGGGAGAGAGAGAGAGAGAGAGAGAGAGAGAGAGAGAGAGAGAGAGAGAGAGAGAGAGAGAGAGAGAGAGAGAGAGAGAGAGAGAGAGAGAGAGAGAGAGAGAGAGAGAGAGAGAGAGAGAGAGAGAGAGAGAGAGAGAGAGAGAGAGAGAGAGAGAGAGAGAGAGAGAGAGAGAGAGAGAGAGAGAGAGAGAGAGAGAGAGAGAGAGAGAGAGAGAGAGAGAGAGAGAGAGAGAGAGAGAGAGAGAGAGAGAGAGAGAGAGAGAGAGAGAGAGAGAGAGAGAGAGAGAGAGAGAGAGAGAGAGAGAGAGAGAGAGAGAGAGAGAGAGAGAGAGAGAGAGAGAGAGAGAGAGAGAGAGAGAGAGAGAGAGAGAGAGAGAGAGAGAGAGAGAGAGAGAGAGAGAGAGAGAGAGAGAGAGAGAGAGAGAGAGAGAGAGAGAGAGAGAGAGAGAGAGAGAGAGAGAGAGAGAGAGAGAGAGAGAGAGAGAGAGAGAGAGAGAGAGAGAGAGAGAGAGAGAGAGAGAGAGAGAGAGAGAGAGAGAGAGAGAGAGAGAGAGAGAGAGAGAGAAACTGGGCATGCATATGTATTCTGTGTCGTTTTGGATCCATATATGTAATTAGGCACTGCACATGCATGGCCTTGCTCTGCCCGCCAGTGCCTGCATTCTAATTTGTATATATGTCGACGTTAATTAATGTTTTGTGACTCTAGATTCTGCCACGTTTCTGCCGACATGATCATCAGAGTATGTTAAACGGTTGGGTCCAGTTGATTCTGCCTGTCTTGTTTGTTTCACTTTCATCCCTTTTTTTTTTAATCATACATTTTCTTTTTGAGAGAACAGAGAGAGATATTTTTCTTATAATATATTAAATTTAAAGTTTAAGCCAAACTTTCCAATTGGTGTATATTCATCCATCCATCCATCCATCGACTCTCTCTCTCTCTCTCTCTCAATATTGATTACTGGCTGTCCTGCCTCCAAGTCTCTCCTTCCATGCCCCTTTCGTCTACATTTCCCTTTATATCATGTCGGCGCCATAAATAGGTATTCTTTCACTTTACCAAGGCGCTATAAATGGAAAATATCTTTATAATACTCCAAAATCTCCATGTGCTTATATAGTACTATGTTCCGTATATTAAATAAAATATCATTTTAATTTAACTTTTGAAATGGAATATGTAATAAAGCATCTTGAAGATATGTTTCGTCACGCAAGCGTCACTTTCAACGACTAATTATAAATTATATCAATCACAATTGTGTAGACAACTCTAAACCGTTGATTAAAACGCACTATATGATTTCATGAAACCACCTCATATTAGGTGTATAAATGTATTGAGCACCATGGCTACCACTTCACCATTCTTAGTTTTTTGCTCTCCTCCTTATTATAAGTGATCGACCTTCACATAATCACACAACTCACTCTTTTTCCTTTTGAGATTTGTATGTGCTAAATTATGTACGAGCTTTTGAAAAGACCATAGATTTTATCCACAGTTTAGGACGTGTTGCTTTGGAATTACAGGTCAAACGTGGAACAATGTAGGACGTATATAGAGAATTGATTTTTGGTGGTCATAACTCGCAATTTCCAAGCTCAAGTCAAGACCGGTTCTTGGTTCTCTAAAATAAGTAAGCGGATTTCCATCATGATTTCAATATATTTGGCCTTATGTATGAAAATTTATCTACTTTTTGTCAATTTGTGAAAAGATGCATAGAATCTTGTCGATTCGATTCTCAATTTTATTAGAAAAATGTGTGTATCCTCAATTTTATTGACAATATAAATTCTTTTCAATAATTTGATAAAACAGGGGTTAATTTTGATATATATAATTATAATCTAGTTACATCTTAATTGAATCCTAGCTTCTCAACATTCAATTGAGGTTGCATTATTCTCTCTTGTCATGTATAACTCACACAAAAACCTTCAGATAAGTATGTTTTATCTTAGTTTGATTGGAAATATGTAAAAAGATGTGTTATTATTATGGACTTAGGAACTAGAATTAATCCTTTGAGCTATATATGCATATTATTGTTAATACACTTTCTTAGCAACTAGATTATATCAGTGGGGGTAATTAAGGTGAGATGCGCCTTAATTGAATTAGATTATTAAGTTCCCGATCGTGACATGTGATCTTGTCAATAATTAGTTGAGAAAATGTGATCTAACGGTTAAGAATCCTCGTTTAATTAAGGACCTTAACTAATTATTAAAGAATAATTCTTAGAGTTTTTAAATGCGGTAATAGAATAATTATTATCATGACTTGCTAATTAAAATAACTTATGAATAAAGAAGAGAACAAGTAGCTAGTTGACGATCATGCATTTAGATTTATTTGGTGTGGTTGAGAATCCAGGTTGTGACATGCATGAAAAAAAGGAGGGCCGACGTCCAACATACTTTATCTGATGCCACTTTGAGCCGCGTGTTCTTCTCTTAGGCATAAATTCTCAATCCTCTTAGCAGCCTATACAAAAGTAGTGAAGACGATTGATGGGATTTCCATTTCCTCCTTATAAGCCAGCTCTTCCCACTAGCTATTGTCTCTCTCTTTCTCTCAAAGCCAACGTCTGCATCAATCCGATCTTCTCCATATATCTATCCTCCTACATACATGTAAGAAGAGCATCACATACATTTTTGTTTTAATGCTGTTTATGTGTTTTATCTTTCTTTGTAACAAGTTTGAGCTTATCTTTCTTGCTTGGATCTTTCACTGTCCTTGTACTCTTGCTTTTGGTGTCTTTCGATCCCAATTAACCACTGTATTCAACATGTTTTTCATAGTCTTTATAATGATATGTAATCTATCAAACAAGTGGGATGTCAACATCTCCCTGCAGTGATATTGCCATGCAAGTCACCTCCATTTTATCTTTTAGCACACTATTACAAAACCTCTTCAGGCCACTGATATACCTTTGGCCTATATTAATGTTAGTCACAAGCACAGCCAAAGGGACTTGGTCACAGATCATGTGACTGTGGTCTAAGCATAGTGTTGCTATATTTTTTAACTTTGTCACTCCGAGACTAAAATAATGGGCTTTTTGACTCTTGAATCTTGAGCTACAACATTATGATGACTTGGAAGTTTGATTAATATGCTATATTTTGCTTTTTATGCAGGCAAGTTCATATATATATATATCACTAAATCCGGTAGCTAGCTAGAGGTGGCTCATTGCTTATGATAAAAGGAGGAATATTGATAGAGTCTTGAGATGTTATTGAAGGTTCCAGAACAGGTGCAGAATGGGGTTTGTAAACTCAATTTTATTTTATTTTAATGAGCTCTCATCCCGTTTTTGGAGTATGCTCCCACACATTGATGGTCTTGATGATATATATGTAGTCTTGAAATACTAGTAGTCGATCTGGTTTTTCTCTTGTTTTGTCAGGCTTTATAGGATTAATTTCTTAGCAAGGTTCGCTAATAGCTAGTTTTCATCACACCAAGTGTTATTTTCCAAGGTTTCTATTGTTTTGCACTGCTTAATTAGAACCAGATATGGGCATATCCCTGCAGTGAGGGATAACAAGTATTATCTTGTGCAAATTATTTATGCCTCGCTTAAACATATGGGCCCAAGGAATGTGGTATAGTCGGTGGTCGACACATTAGTACGACCGCAATCTTGTTTTCTTCTATTCGGAAGGTATATTTGCATTCAATTTTCATTTAATATCGTTTCTGAGAATATTGAACATCCTAGGTCTGAGGAAAATCCAAGCGACAGCTCCCTGTGGCCACAGCCTTTAATAAGGTAAGCTGAAAATTCTTCAGATTATCATCATATTGATATCAAGGGACATGCTTAATTAATGGAAAATAGTGATTAAAAGTTTAATTAACTACAATTTTTTTGGTTTGTTTTTAAAATGCAGATGTTAGTCAGTAATATTATTGTCGATATATTGCTGATATGATTGTCCATAGGTCATCGTCGATAAAGTTGAATCACATGGTAATTTTAGGGCTCATTTGATAACTATTTTAATTTCTCTCATCTAAAGAGGGATAAGAGATAAGACAATTGAGACGGAGGAAGTTTATTAAAATGAAATAGATAACTTCCATGTCTGGTGCCTATAACAAAAAGACACGGACACAGAATTCTAGTGTAGACTCCAAAACTTAGAAAAGGAAACGCCATAACGTTTTCATCGACGACGAAGGGAACATAAGAAACAATAGAACGCGGCGTTGTCTCAATCTCTTTTTTCATTGTCTCCATCTCCAAAAAACCCTCCACTTGTTAATTGCTATCCATCTTTCTCTTTTTAATCTCTTCCCGGCTCTCATAACATTCCCTTTCAATTCTTTTTCTCTCTCTCTCTCACTTTGTCCATGTCTTTCAATTTCTAATTAGCATCATGGACTCGGACCCACCATTTCACAAGGCCTACAAGACCCTTTTCGACAAAACCGCGGACAAAGCCACCGCCACCATAATCAACAGCAACAGCAACAACAAGGACCGTGAGGAGATGCTGCAGCTTGTCATCGTCGAGGAATGTGACCTGCCGCTGATCGATCTGCGGCGGTTGGAGCTCGGAGAAAGGGAAAGGGAAGAGTGCAAGTCAGAGATAGCTAGGGCTTCTCAAGATTGGGGTTTCTTTCAGGTTGTGAACCATGGGGTTTCTGGTGGGCTGCTTCAGAAGATGAAGATTGAGCAAGAGAAGGTGTTCAAGCAGTCGTTTGATAAGAAGAGTCAAGAGGACAAGTACTTGAATTTCTCTGCCGGTAGTTACCGTTGGGGAACGCCTTCAGCCACATGCCTAAGACAATTGGCTTGGTCTGAAGCGTTTCACATTCCACTCAAAGACATTTCCACCTCATCAGCAGCTGGTCTCGATTATAATCCCAGGTATATATAATTATTACTTACTAATTCACATAATTATATGTTAATTATGCGTGCTTTTTACTTGTTACAACCTCAAAACTACCGTAGGAAAATAGGAATCCACTAAAACCATAGGAACCAACGACCCAATAAACAATTGGATACTATACAGCTAGCTAGTAAGCTATACGAAGAGAAATTATTGTGTGATACAGCAATACCGCCACTCTTAAGCGGTTGCGTATGTCAATATTTTGGCATCGGTAATTTATGTTGTGTTGTTGGTTTTTTGCATATTTAGTTACCGGTTGTCCATGGAAATTGGAAAAGTTGATGAAACAGACTGCTCAGTAGCTAAGCGTCAGCTTCTGCTTCACATGCAGTCGTATAGGAACCACAAAATGAGTTGCAGAGATCTTGTGATCTCAGTCCTTGCAATTTGCAGTGAAACGTCATAGAGTGTGCAATGCATCATCTCATTTGTTCTAGATTTGTACGAACCATCCGGGACACTCTGCTATAATTGATTCCTTGCTGTCATGGGACAAAATTACAGATAGCTATATAGCCTTGCTGTCCCAATTGGCTACCATACTTTTCCTTGTGTTGCAGAAATGTGCCAATTATTGAACTCACTCCATGTGTTGTTGATTTGTGATATCAAATCCCTGTACGTAATGCATGCATGGCCTCTCCCCTCTCTCTGCCTCTCATTGTTTTTTCGTTTTCACCATCATCATACTCATTTATGCCACGTGGGCACTTGTGATTTTGGGTATCCAGCTCGACTATGGAACAGTTTGCTACAACAGTTTCAAGTCTGGCACTGAACTTGGCTGAAATTTTAGCCGAGAAATTGGGTCACAAGTCGACATTTTTCCAAGCAAATTGTTTGCCCAGCACGTGCTATCTCCGATTGAACCGATATCCACCATGTCCCATCCCTTCTGAGGTGTTTGGGTTGATGCCACACACTGATAGCGACTTCCTTACAATTTTGCATCAAGACCAGGTTGGAGGACTGCAGTTGGTCAAGGATGGGAGATGGATCGCGGTTAAACCTAATCCTGCGGCCCTAATCATCAACATCGGAGATTTATTTCAGGTCAAGTTTCAATTTAATTACTTATATTTTCGGTCTGACAACATAACACAAACATATATCAAGATTTCGTTTCTTAATTATGTAATATAATACAAGCCCACTTGTGTCATTTTTCTCAATATATATTATTTAACTTTGTTTTTTTGTCTAGGCATGGAGCAACAATGTGTACAAGAGTGTTCAACATCGAGTTGTCACGAATTTGGCAGTGGAACGATTCTCAACTGCATATTTCCTATGCCCTTCGTATGAGACTGTGATACAAAGCTGCCGTGAGCCTTCGGTGTATAGAAAATTCAGCTTCGGGGAGTATAGGCGGCAAGTCCAAGAGGATGTTAAAATGCTGGGTTCCAAAATAGGTCTTCCTAGGTTTGTTGTATAATTAATAATTAGGTAAGCCATTAGTACTACACAGATGAGTTTTGCTAGTACATCATTAGGGTTATCTAAATATATTTCGGGTGAGGGCAATGGAAATTAAGCTTAATCTTATATTAGGCAATGGAAATTAAGCTCGTTAATTAGTCAATTGTGATTTACTACATTGTAATTAGGGGTTTATAATTTTTATTCTGGTTTTAATCAAGGGTGTTTGTTTTAAGTATATAACAAGTTTTGTTTATCATCATTTTATTGTTTTTTTATCCAATGACATCAATAAAATGATTTATTTCCTTTTCCAAAAATAAATTAATGACTCCTAAATATATGTTTGAAATTATGTTAATTTAAAAGTGATGATGTGCATATGTCACATTATTTGGGATCCAAATTTGGTGTCTTTAGCATTTCCCTTGAAATAATACATACAACCTTTAAGAGCATCTCCAGCGCAGCAACAGAACCGGGCAAAAGGCCCCCCTCGCAAGCCCAAGGCAGCTCCAGCGCTGCAGCCTGGTTTGGCATGGGTCCCATCAGCCCGGGCAAGCCCAAGGGCAAGTTTCGCTTGGGCTTCAGCCCGAGGGCTGTGATGTCGCGCTGACGTCAGCGAGCAAAAAAATATTTTAAAAATCCAAAAAAAATTCAATTTTTTTTTTTAAAATACCAAAAAATTATAGATGCTTTCCCTATAAATACATAACAATTTTATTCACTTTCTAAATTGTTTATATTTTGTTGCATAATATTTTTTTCCTTTCTTGCCTTAGACTTGCCCTAGACTTAGCCCTCATGGGTGGAACCACAAATGGCAAGGATGACACTATTCACGTGAATAGTGGCAGCCCTTGCTTGCCCTTGCCCTAGACTTAGCCCTTATGGGTGGACATGCTCTAAGAGAAAGGGAATTGAACATAGAACCTTGCGTAGGAAAGCTTTAAGAAATAGGTTTTTTCTTTTCTTTTTCTTAACATGTATCTACAATTACACGGTAAACAACATGTACCAATGTAGTATTAGTTGAATTGGCTTAGGTCTTTCGTGTACTCCCAAATGATTCTAAGAGTTCAAACTTCCATTATACGTGTGTGTGTGAATTTCCCCCTTTCCCTTCCTAACTTTGGCAAAAGAAAAAGTGAACAACATATTGTATTGTATTTGAAATTGAATGTCATTATTGCCAAAAACAAAAAGGAAAATAGATTCGCCAAAAAGAAAAGCAAAGTCGCGGTCAAACCGAGCCAACCCTCACACAGCGACACGTCGTTTACTCATCTATACAAAGATGAGTTTATGCAAATCCGACGGCTAAGAGTTCTTGAAATGCAGATCTGTTGACCACCTTCATATTTTTTTGTTTGTTTTTTCTGGTTGGTTTCCTCAAACACTTAAACGCAGAGTACCCTCCTTGAATTATCGGGAAACCATTTCAGAGAAATCTAGAGCTCCGTTGGTAAAGCATGGCGCCACCGGCAGCGATTCGGTGGTTCGCGGTTGTTTCAGCTCTAATGCTGTGCCATCTCATCACTACGTCGACGGCCATCTACTGCGACGAGGACGACTGCTACGATCTCCTAGGGTCAGCTCCGCTCCTCTCCCTCATAATTTTCCCTCTGCTTCCCAAATTACCCCTCTCTTGATCGCATATTTACTTAACATTTCACCTGCTTCTCTAGGGTTACGCAGAGCGCGAATTCTTCGGAGATCAAGAAAGCTTACTACAAGCTCTCCTTGAAACAGTGAGTCTGCACCCTTTTTCACTTTGTAAATAACTCTGGAATTATTAAATCAAGAGTTTTATTATTTCTTTGATATGTTGGTTTTTGATTCTCAGTCACCCGGATAAAAACCCGGATCCGGAATCGAAAAAGCTGTTTGTTAAAGTTGCCAATGCTTATGAGGTACTTGGGATCATGTAATTTTGTAGGAAATGATGCCAAATTTGGAAATTGATTCGAATGCAATTGCTATTTTAGACTTTTATTTGCTGTCATGTGCTAGTGATGATGGAGTTTAATTGCTAAATTGCAGATTCTGAAGGACGAGGCCACTCGGGAGCAGTATGATTACGCCATTGCACATCCGGAGGAGGTAAAATATATAAACCATTGAGTGAACATTGAATTAAAGGCTAAAAGTAATTTGGAAACCTTTCTATCGATTTTCGTAGACTTAAGAATTGACATTGCATGAAAGAAGAAAATTATTGTAAGTATTATGCTGTTTTTTTCAATTTATATGGGTAATGTGAGCTTCCAGTTGTTAAGATTCCATATTCTTTGAGCTTAGATATTTGTGAAAGATAATAAGGTTGCCATGTTTTCTGCTTGTTAGGTGTTTTACAATACAGCTCGCTACTATCAAGCATATTATGGTCACAAGACGGTGAGAGAGTTTTCATTGTTCAAATCATAACTTAATATTCTGTCCGGTTCAGAAACAATTCTGTGAGTTGATAGTTTAAGCTCCAATTTCATGTATTTGTTTCTAAAACTGTTTATGTGTCCGCATTCTAGGATCCTCGTGCTGTCCTGGTTGGCCTTCTTTTGATTCTTTCAGCATTTCAGTATCTAAATCAGTGGACAAGGTATAATCAGGTACTGTGGCAGATCAATATAATGTGTACATTACATTTGTAAGAGTATCAAAGCAGTAATGTTTGAAATGCAGATGTCACTGTATGGCTTAAACAAGTTGCACGACATGCCTTTGGTACATGTGTCCTGACTGCTGACATCACTCCCAAATCTAGATTTTATTGTCTATCCTTATTGTATTCTTGGAGTGTACTGTATACTCTAGTGGATTCTTACAGGACTTGCTAATGCATATCATTTATGACACTTTTGATGTTTCATGTCTCTGTAGGCTGTGGACATGGTCAAGAAGACTCCTGCTTACAAAAATAGACTACGGGCTTTGGAACTTGAGCGTAGTGGGGGGACTACAAATAAGAAGAAGAGTAACAAGCAGATGAACAAGTATGAATTCTTAGTCATTTTCAAAGAGAAATAATGAAATGCATGGTTGTAAAAAATTGATAATGTATCCATGAGGATTAATCAATTGTACATAGAATTACATTCTATGATTCTGAATTTGTTGTTAAGAAAGGCGGATGTTGTTTTCATAGGAAAGTGGAGGAAGATCTCGGCAACGAACTCGAGTTGCAGATTAAAGGAGCTGAACAGCCCTCCATGTGGGATCTTCTTGTTGTCCACTTCGTACTCCTACCCTACACTATTGGCAAGGTATTCTGAAGTTTAAAATAAGCAGTACTAACCAATAATGGCCATGGGTGTACTTTATGCTTGATATATTCCACTCGTTTTCTTGTCTACCGAGTAATGTATGGAATTGATGATTTTACATTAACTATTACTGTAATGTTAACTATTTTTCTTGTTGATCCAGCTATTATTATGGTGTGGCTGTTGGTTCTGGAGATACAAGGTGAAACAAGCTCCATATTCATGGGATGATGCCTCCTACCTAACACAGAGATCCCTTAATGCGCCTCTTGATGCATGGAGAAATCTCGGTATATAAGTTTAAATTTCAGTGTTTTTTTCCCTTATATTGGCATTATGAATTTGGTCAAGGTTAATGGGGCTTGATATATGGATTTAACAGTGAAAGAGGGTCATTAACTTTCGATCCCATTAGATCACCGTGGGGTGAATGGGGATGGATGTCTGAGCACCAACTATTTCATAATTTGTTTGTTTTAAGCTTTAACCATTCACCATGAACCTACACAAAACCTTCCATACAAGATGCTGCAACCTCAGATCTTAATTGATAAAGTAATTATGGTTATGAGTTGCGAGTTCCAGACTCTGCATGCTCTCCTACATTGTCACACACACCCTAGAGGTTCTTCATACTTATTGTTCCCTATTGTTTATTGGTTTGTTTTTCAGACGACTCAAGAAAGGAAGATCTTATTCATAAACGTTTATGGGAAAAATCGAACTTGGAGAACTACCTTGCTGAGATGCGAAAAGAATCCAAGCGCAGAAGGTAGCAAATTTTGTCGCCCATGCTACCTCATGTTCTCGAAATACCGACACGACACTTTTTGGTAAATTAGACCAATACATGGAAGAGTTAACCCATATTTTTGTTGAAATAGCTGAGTGGTGGATGGAAGGCAGGGTATGAGGACTTTAGTTGCAAACCGCTATATTAGCAAATTGTATTTTGTTGGGATTCATTATATTGGATAATTTATATAACAAACACTACTACGTACGTGCGACTTCGAGGTAAAATCACCGTTGAACTCATGACTTTTTAATTCCCATTTGATGCTCATTGATTGTATATGGATTAATTATGTGTAATAGTTGGTGTTACAACAAACGTTTGTGTAGCAATTCCGATTAGCTTGGAAGACACAGTAAGTTATAAATAAATAAAAAACAAATAAAATGAAAGCATGCAATTCCCCTACTTTGTGGATATTCAACTTGACATTGGGTATAGCCGTTCGGGTATACTATTTAAAAATGAAAAAAACATAAAACCATAGTATAGGCTATACTATCTATAATTTAAATAATTAAAAAAATTAAAAAAGTATCCGCCTATGCACGTGTCAAAAATGGTATCGCCGCGCGGCTATACTCTTTTATATATAAAAACCCTATCTTTTCAACAACAAAAATCGTAGTATAGCCGCGCGGCTATACTATTTATAATTTTAAAAAATAAAAAAGGATGACCCGCCTAGCGCCTAGTGATTAGCATCCACGTGTCCAAAATAGTATCGCCGCACGGCTATACTATTTATATATATTTTTTAAATAAAAAAAGAGGGACCCGCCTAGCGCCTTGCGAATAGAAGCCCACGTGTAAAAAAAAACCGTAGTATAGCCGTGCGGCTATACTATTTATAATTTTAAAAAATTAAAAAAGGGTGGTCCGCCTAGCGCCTTTAGGTGCTACTGTGTCAAAAATAGTATAGCCGCGCGGCGATACCAATTTTTCCTTAAAAAAAGTATAGCCGCGCGGCTATACTTGATTTGAAGACTTCCCCATTTCCCTTTTAACCTGTAGAACCATTGGCTGGCTCCTGTTTTTGTTGGTTAACGATGTGTCCTGACTCGTGGGTGTGGATTAAGCCAATTGACTACGACAATGTGCATATTTATTTTTAAATCCGTATTTGAATCTTCCTCTCAATACCTAAACTAATTTAAAATATCCCATTCTCAGAACAAAAAAGAAAAACTTCGAAGCTGGGTCAAAACGCATTTGGTCCTATGAGACCTTTTCATGACAAAGAGGGCCCGAAAAGTGGTTGGGCTTATTAACAAAGAGCCCAACAACAAGTCATCAGTGTCATGTGATGAATTTCTAAACAGGAACTGAACACAATTTTCCGAGAGCTGCCTCCAAATTTGCCAACATTCGTGCTTCTCTCTCTCAGTTCTTCTTCCCCACCGAGTCAAAATGATCTCTCTCAAGCTTCAAGCTTTTCTCACTGTTCTTCAGCTTTCCACTTCCATTGTCTTCAAGACTTGAGCAGTAAAAGCTACCCATCTCCTCTTCGCTCCTCCACATATCTCTCGCCAGTCTCATGCACCCAAACATTCACCAATGCCTCGCCTTCTGGTCCCTCCCTTACCCTTTTACCCCTTTCTAATTCCCACCTATCATTTTCTTTTTACTGATGCAGATGTTTATGTTCGCTCTGTGCAGATGGGATATTTGGTTCCTCTCAACGACAAGCTCGAGGAAGACACTTCAATCCCCAACATACCCCTCAACCAAGGTCCAAATTACATCGGCCGCCACACCACAGCTTCCCTCTCCGACAAAAGACTTAGCCGCAAGCACCTCACTCTCACTGCCTCTCCTGATGCTTCCGCCGTTTTGGCCGTGGTAATTCCGTAATTTAAACCTCCAAACCAGTCCACTGTTTAACCGAAGTAGATAGATTGCTAACGTTAATATTGCAACTGTAGGAGGGAACCAATCCCATTGTTGTTAAATCGGAGAATACTAGGAAGAAATTGTTTCCCAAAGACAATGCGACTATACACCATGGTGATGTTATAGAGCTAATTCCGGGGCATTATCTTTTCAAGTATAAGACATTGTCTGGTAACGAAAATTTAGATGCGCATGGTGTCCATAACCATAAGAGGGGTTCAAACGATAGAGGAAAGGGTGCTGAAGTTGAGGAGTTGAGCCGAAAACGGTCACGTCAGCTAGTGCCCCAAGAGAAAGGTTCCAATACAAGTTTTAAGGTGTCCTTCTTTTGATTTTAAATAGTTTGATTGATTAAACTGCTGTTGATGATTATGGAAAATGTGATTTTGAGAGGCTAACTAAATGCCCATCTTTATCGACTTTGGACTTTGAAGGCTGAGGTGGAAGGAAGCAGCTTGGGGGCTGAGAATCGTGGGAATTTGCAGTCTAAGAGAGATGGCAGTCAAGTGGAGGCCATACAGCATTTTCGTGTTCCTAATGATAAACTACCACAGACCTTTCGGCTTTTGAATGTGCAAGGACTTCCCCAATGGGCAAATACCTCTTGTGTTTCTATAGGGGACGTGATTCAGGTAACCATTGTACCCTGTTGTAAGGAACAGCTTGTTGGTTCCATATGCAGTGTGCTCGATGCGGCAATTTGTTTGTGGAAGTATGTTTAAGCTTTAGCTCATGTTTTGCATGAATAGTGCACGCCTGAGGTTCATATTCAGCATGCAAACGTTCTGGAAGAAATTGATTGACTTTATGAATATTTGGTTTTGGATGGGAATTTAATTTACTTCGATTATTTATTTTTTGTTGTAGGGGGATATTGTCGTGGCTATCCTTTCGAATTACATGGTAGACATCGATTGGTTGATACCTGGTATGTTGTTCTTGTCACCTTGATTGTGTTTCCTGTAGAAATATTTTCTGTTATGTGCATATTCTGAATCTGGTTGATGGCATATTACTTTTGTGTCATGCATAAGCTATTTCATGGTTGCATCCTTTCTATTCTTCCCTGATTGCTTCTGATTGTTTTTATTTTTCTTTCCCTCCCCACTTTAGCATGCCCAAAAATTGCAAAAGTCCCGCATGTCTTGGTTATTCATGGTGAGGGTGATGGTACACTGGATTATATGAAGGTCTGAGTCAGCTCTATTTATGCCTAATCTCTGTCTATGTTATGCTTTCTTCCGGAACCTGGACCTTAAGTTGTTACCTCTAATTTTAGAGAAAGAAGCCTGCAAATTGGATTCTACACAAACCACCATTGCCCATTTCATTTGGGACGCACCATTCCAAGGCCATGCTTCTTGTGTATCCTCGAGGAGTGAGAATTATTGTACACACAGCAAACTTAATATTTGTTGACTGGAACAACAAAAGCCAAGGTTTGTGGATGCAAGATTTTCCATGGAAAGATCAAAATAATCCAAGCAAAGGATGTGGATTTGAAAATGACTTAATTGATTATCTCAGTGCACTTAAGGTATTAATATAACAATTTATGTGGATCATTGGTTGATTTTGTTTATTGTTTTGGTTTTCTTGCCTTTTTGTTACCTTATATCTCTAGTTTCCAGATGTTTTGATTTTTAATGATGCTAATTCAAATTTAACGTAATAATCTTCATCTTGTTGGTTGACTGTCAACAGTGGCCCGAGTTTTCTGTTAATTTTCCTAACTTGGGAAGCTTCAAAATCAATCCGTCATTTTTCAAGAAGTTTGATTACAGCAATGCAGCAGTGTGTTTTCTATTCCTTGAACTTTATATGTATTGGTTTTGTTTTGTTGGGGATAGTATAACATCAAAGTTAGTATCTTCATCCGTGTGTATAATTTTCAGGTGAGGTTAATTGCATCTGTCCCTGGATATCATACGGGTACGAACATGAAAAAGTGGGGACATATGAAGCTACGCACTATTCTCCAGGAGTGCACTTTTGATAAAGAGTTTCGGAAATCTCCTCTTGCTTATCAGGTACGGGGACACAAGCGGTTGACTCATATAATGTACGATATCAATGCTGAGTGTTTTTCTTTGATTAGGTGCAAAAATTGAGCAATGTGTTTATTCCAAGATTCTGTACCTATCGGTATAGATATATTGCATTTGATTTCTGTCCAATTTTTGGGATTCAGGACTTAGCATTTTCAATTGATTTTCATCTATTGGTCTCTTTACTTGCATAATATATAGAATGGAATAATGACTAATGCGGTAAACTTTATGCTGTCGAGTGCTTTGCTTTGTGGAATATAAAAAGAAATAGTAGTAAAGCAAATCTAATTTGGAGCTAGCTTGTTGGATCTTTGCTTTTTGCAGTTCTCCTCCCTAGGTTCTTTGGATGAGAAGTGGATGGCTGAGCTTGCGTCTTCAATGTCGTCAGGTTTATCAGACGATAGAACTCCCCTCGGTCCTGGGGAGCCACTTATAATATGGCCTACAGTAGAAGATGTCAGATGCTCTCTAGAGGTACTATCAAGTAGGTCATTGTTGTGAACCTTTTCCAATAGACCTTGTTTACTATTATATGGTCGTCTTCCATAAAGTTTCTAGGTTTTTACCATGGGCAAGAAATCCAAAAGACCTTACCTGGATAAATCTCAATAGACCTCATGTAGTTGGGTTAGGGGTATACAATTTCTTCAAAACAATTGGAATGTTGGACATATTTAAATGAAATACTATATAGGGGTAATTCAGCAATTAACTGGCAAAAGAGTCATCTGTCTATCACGTAATCTTTGAATGTGTGTTGCAACTTAGATTCTATATTCTGCATCTTGCTTTCATTTGTGCACCTTATAAGTGAATGCTGCTTTTTTGTGGGTTACACTCTTTGCCAGGGTTATGCGGCTGGAAATGCGGTTCCAAGTCCACTAAAGAATGTGGAGAAAGACTTCTTGAGAAAGTCCTGGGCAAGATGGATGGCAAGCCATACTGGCCGCTGGTCTCTCTCTCTCTCTCTCTAGTGAAATATTTGACCCTGAAATGCTTAGGTGGAAAATTTCTAGAAAATCTGACTAAAGAAACTGATTAATTGTTGTGCAGAAAGACCCGCACAAATATTGTCTTTTATTTTCATTTTTTTTCCATTAGACTATAAATTGATATTAACAGTTCTGCCTTTTCATTTCAGTCGTGCAATGCCACATATAAAGACATATACTCGTTACAATGGTCAGAAACTTGCGTAAGAGTTCATCTCCGACCCTATTGATTGTGTTTTTATGGGTTTACGTTTTTAGAATGTTTAGTAGCATACCCTTCATAGTCAATTTTGAGCAGTAACTGTGAATTTCTACTTTGTCCCAACAGTTGGTTCTTGCTGAC